CGGTGGAACAAAATCAACACTACCAGAATAACTACGCGGATAACGATCTAAAGTCGAACCATTCGAGTCACAATATTAACATAAAAATGACTTTCGTTGCATTTGACAATCATAAACTTACCGAAAAGCCGTGTTATTCACGGTCGCTAACGTCGGTATAATCCGCCATTTTATTTGAGTGTGTTTGCCACCCGGTGACGTCATCATGAGCACTATAGAAGGAGGGTATGTGATTCGTTGACTAAAATCGTCGATAGTGGGTCTCGTTGAAATCTCGTTACATAGGCGTCGGATCAGATGTAGGTAGGGCGGAATTAAAAAAAATCACAAAATCAAAGTAAAATAATGAGATAAAAGGGTATTAATAACAAAAGTAATAAAAAATAAAATTAAAATAAGTTTATAGCCAAAATAATTAAAGCCCGTACACTACATCAGATTTTAATCAGATTGAATCAAGCTGTAAGTCGAAGAATACACAATTTCACTGGAACTGGAGCTATTTACTACAGCAAGACTTGCAAGAAAATAATTCCCATTACCGGTACTTAGTAGCGCATTTATAGTATCCCTGGCCTTTAAAGAAAATGTCCAGCATTATAATACCATGAACAAACAAACAAGTCAATCACTACTGAAACTACTGATCAGTACACAACCAATTATACTCTCAGTGATCTAACCACACAGAACTCTGGGAAGGAGAATAGTCTCCCACAAATCTCCAACGCAGAGTTGCAGAATACATAAAACTTGAAAATGGTCATCAACTGACTTTCCAACAAAGAACACACAATATTACACACGTAAAGGCAAGGTGATATGCTCATGAATGAGTAACAACTGAAAAAAGTCGCATAAAAAACTCCAAAAACAGGAAAATGGAAAATGTGAAATTCTTTGTTTCTGTGTCTGTCTTTGGTCATGGGGTTAAGCTTTTAATTTTATAAAACTAAAATTCAGTCTTCAAATACACCAAACAAGCTCGGCTGAGATAGCTCCGCTGTTAGCAATGCACATTTCAGTTAAAGAACAGAAGATATCATTAGAAAATGAACAACATGCATAGTATCAATGCAATGGGAATTGCTGTTTTCAACAAGAATTCAAAAATATAATTTTTAACCAGAAATGATTGTGGTTTTTAACAAGAAGAAAATATCACTTTTTACCAAAAATGACAAAAATATTCACCAAAATTAGAAAATTAAAGATATCATCATGAAATGAACAAATTTGAGAGTGGTCCACATGTAGTACCTATATATGTAATATCAAAGCAATTGGACTTGTGGTTTTTAACATAAGTTGAAAATATCACTTTACCAAAAATGACAAAAATATTCACCAAAATTAGAAAATTGAAGATATGATCATGAAATGAACAAATCTGAGAGAGGTCTACCCAAGGTACATATACACCAAGTATCAAAGCATTCAGGCTTGTAGTTTTCAAGAAGAAGTCGAAAAAGTAAAACATTGACACGGACGACGACGGACAATCACTCATATGATAAGCTCCGCTCGACAAAGTCGACAGCTAAAAACTGATTTTTCAATAGCTTCTTGCAAAATGTATCTACTCCTACAAAATTACATATAATAATCTTGGACATAGCTCATTCTACTCAGCTTGAGTGTGGGCACAAAGTTACTATTTGAATTTTTGATATCTTTTTTCATTACCGAGAAATTTGACCTCAAAGTTTGGGTAACTTTTCACCAGTAACTGCTTTTTAACTATTCAGTGATTTTTTTGGCTTGGTAATATCGTCACTAATCGGAAAAAAATTACTGACCCACTACTGTCATGGCAACAGCCAAAAAAATGTATTATCTCCTACCAGTCTTGTAATAGCAGTATTCAAATAATCACGCTTTTTATTTTGACTACATGTAAGTTGCACACAGAGATCACCGGTGGCAAAATATTTACCAACGTAATCCCAATGCAATTTTGAACTTTAAATAAACTGTAAATGCTGCAATCAATCAAAGAATCTAGAAAATACAATCGCAAAATAGCCGGAAAAAATAATTACAACAACAGAATAGGTACTAGTAATAAAGTGAAGTGACTTCTGAAGACTAAATGTTTTTTGCGAACTTCGTATACAGGGCAAGGTTTTAGTTATAAAACGATGTTAGCTTCACGTTCATGTCCCAAAATGGCAACAGCCGAAAACATGATGTTTTTTTTTTGAGCGGAGCGGCTCGCAAACCAGCTTACCGGCTTGTTTATACTGTAAATGAGAAATTAACTACAGAATATAAATTTATGGATTCCTTAACTACTGTAGAATACATTATTTTCGCTATTTTCGAAAATTAATTCCAGCGAAAATAAAGTATTCCACAGTAAGTTATATTCATGAACAATATACACTCATTGAGTTTACTAGAGGTTTTGTTTGTCTTGAAAGTTGCATTGTATGTCTTGAATACGAACCTTCAGTGAGATATGTGGAATGATCAGGAAGGATTGATATTTCAAATTTGTGTAATTTTTCAATTTTTTTCATATTTCCGGCTTGTATTGAGGATGATGTTTCAGGTGTTTGCAAAGTGTGGATACAACTAAAAGATCTTTTTAAAACGTTTAAGAAACTCGCTGGAACCCAGTAATCCATTTTAACACCTGTTAATATGCAATTGCAAAGTATGTTACTTGATACTACAGAAAGTTACAATAAAAGGAAAAAAATATTGATTTTGCAGCGTGTCGTGACTCTTAACTCATTAATAAGGACACAAAACAGGAAATCTGGAGGGTAAATGCAGTTGCAAACAGGAAAAAGCTAGACCACAAAAATATATCATGAAACTCAATTTTCACAAACAACTCACTGAGCTTTAGGCAACAACTGGTATCCATAGTGATGGCAAATAATGATTTGTACGATTCAACAGCAGAAAACAATTATTTAAATTTGTCATGGCTAAATTGTGATGTACGATAAATGCAGTGAAGCTAAAGACTTTTTTTTTCAGGTAAATTTTGGTGCACCATTTGAACTTTTTGAGTCTTTCTATAATTCTTTTTTCATAATTTTTAACCGGTGTCTACATGTCGTAATAAATTTGTTGAAAAAAATACTCCAGAAAAAGTTTGTAAAAGATTATAAAAGTAACTTTGTTATCAAACTTTGAGAAATAAAGGCCAGAATATAGTTCCTATATGGTATAGGAACAGAGACTTCACTTCACCTATGGGAGGGGGGTTGGTGGGACTAAATTATTAGTACTTTATTTAGAACAGTTTTTTTTTTAAATGTATTCATTCTAGCATACTGAATCCACTGATGGTTATTATTATTAATATTGGTCATTATCATCATGAAATAAGCAAATCTGAGAGAAGTCCACCTGAGGTACCTATATGCATAATATCAAAGCAAAGCAAACAGATATTTTCAAGAAGTCAAATATATCACTTCTTATCAAAAATATTCACCAAAATTGGAGAATATCATCACAAAATGAACTAATCTAAGAGAGGTCTACCCAAGTATCAAAGCAATCAGACTTGTTGTTTTCAAGAAAAAGTTGATAAAGTAAACAGTTGACATGGATGCCGACAGACAACGGATGACGGACAAACACTCATATACACTTGGCTCGACAAAGTCAACAGCGGAGCTAAAAATGGCTGCCAGTCAATCATAAGAATAATATAATGTATGAAAAATATATGCAATATATGAAAACATCATGTATTGTCAGTACAAGAGAATAGTTCATGAAATAACCATGCAGTAACACTACTTTATCTGGGTTTCGAGAAAAAGAAAACATCATGTATTGTCAGTACAAGAGAATAGTTCATGAAATAACCATGCAGTAACACTACTTTATCTGGGTTTTGGGAAAAAGAAAACATCATGTATTGTCAGTACAAGAGAATAGTTCATGAAATAACCATGCAGTAACACTACTTTATCTGGGTTTCGAGAAAAAGAAAACATCATGTATTGTCAGTACAAGAGAATAGTTCATGAAATAACCATGCAGTAACACTACTTTATCTGGGACTTGGGAAAAAGAACATCATATAGAAGAATAACATAAATGTCAAAGAAATCACATGATCTTGTTTTAATGTACGCTACCAGCCTGAAGCACATATTAAATTCATGTAGGATGCTTTTTCTTCTTTAGGAAATATCATGTCAGACCTAATTTCAGTGCAGTCTGTTTCATAGAATGACAATAAGTTAAACCTTCTTAAGGTGTTTTAGGTTGCTTGCTGTATACTACTAAAATTTTTTGTAATGCATTCAAATTTGTTTCTTTTATAACAGTGCATGCCAGATGTACTGGCATACCAGGTGTACATTAATTAGCATACAAATCACTGCAATGCATGACCTCAATTTTTGTTTCCTTTGCCATATGTTATATCGAGAAATATATATAATAATTTTGACAAATCGCCTTATTCCTCTTCAATATATTATTTTACACAGATTTCCAAGGTTATTAAAGACAAGGTCTGATAAAACAATCAAGCAGACTTGCTGTATGTATCCAGAATAATAAAGACACTTATTTTTCAAATTATTTAAACAATAATGTATTCCCCAGTGGCTCATAATGAACGACAGCACACTTTGCACGACATTATGGAGTGGCAAAGCCAGTGAATTTTCACTCGTTAAAACTAAAATAATTTGAAAGAAACGACCGAAAACATTCAACAGAATCGCATCTCCATTATATGGGCCATGTAATCTGTATATAACGTCAACGCATTCACGCAACGATTCCCATTCACACACCCAAGCATGATACAGTGTGCAGCGGTCATTTCAACATAACAGTATACAAAAAACTTGGAACTCTCTATCCTACATGATGTTAATTTTGCCATGATCAAGAGGACCAGTGACGTGTCGACAGCTTGCTGTACTGAACGTACCCCATCTTGCTTATAAGCTGAAGTGTGAAATTCCCGCAGCACGTCGGCGAGCTCAACGACAGGAAGGTCTTCAAAATTGGTGGCGTAACACATAATCCCCATTTAGTCTGCTGTGAAGTATTTTTTTCATTTCTTGCATTTTCGAGCATTTTTCATATAGCTCAGTTATTCATTTGATTCGCCTCATAATTTCCCTTATTATTAAATGCCCATCTCTCCGTCTATTTCCTACGCATGGTACAGGGCCTTGATGCTCAATAATGCAATACATTATCGCGAAAAATGTGTGGCATTATAATAACAATGCTATAATATGAGTTTATGCTTGAGGGAACTGTACATTATTACTTGTGTCAATTGGCCCTATACCAAGTCAATATTCAAACCATCTCAACTCCTTGGGGAGAGTACAACCCTTATTGCTGTATTGTATCTGTATAATAACGACACTTATTGTTCATTGAAATCTATTGTGAGTTTATTCCTAAGCATCTATGTACCAAGTTTCAGTGAATCTGATGAGCGGTTGAGATATTGGTGACAAAATTAAACATTGGCTAATTAATATGCAATTAGGTCATTGATGGGCACAGATTTCAATCAAAAACTTAGCAGGTCTGAGCATCATCCAAGAGCATCTATGTACAAAGTTTCATTCAAATCTAATAATTGGTTCTTGTGATATTAGTGGAACAGACACAGATATACATACATGTACACACAGATGCACTAACTGCAAAAACTCCTATTGTGCACTTAGCCATGTTTTCATTTCACAACATGAGTGGAGGAAATAATAAGCATTGTTTTTTTAAACAAACATTTTGATTGGTTGTTAATTTCATCAATGCATTGCCTCATCCAAACAAAAACCATATTACGGTACATAGTACAAGAGTTCACACAGTCTGAAATGAACTGTTTCCGGGTCAAAGCTGTTTTTAAAAAGGTGGAAATACAACAAACTGTGGTTTTTGTTTTGATGTCATGCATTTCAATTTTTCAATATACCAATTTTCCAATACTTGTGCATCCACATAAACTTATTGCCCCGTCCGAAAAATATTTATTTAATCAAAATGTAAAAGCCAAATTTCTATGACAATTTTAAAATTAAAATAAAGGCATGCATTGATTTTTTGAAAACCAATTTCCCCAAAACTGTTGTTTTGTTTCTGGGCCTGGAGATTTAGTAATTCAACAGTGAATGTAGCTGACTACCCTGTAGCTCTGATCATGGAGCTGGAAATCGTCATCTCCATACTGTGATGCAATGCAGCTTATTGTGTGTGATATATACATATACAGGTAATCAAAGATAATACTTCATTCAACTATTATTTCACAGCAGCTTTCATTTCTCTCATCAGGAAAACAAACTGTTAATAATCCTAAGTAACTTTTATCCTAATGTTAGCTAATATCTTTTAATACAAATTGAAATTCCGACATCATTACATCATATTCAAGATGGCAAAGCTGAAATTATAACAGTAGTAATTAAGACATTCATAAATAACAAATTGTGAAATTAATTTACATATTTTAAAACATATCTTTTTAGCTAGCATGTTATTTTAGCTAATTTAGCTAATTCAAGATGCACCTAATTTAAAATAAAGTATATTCTCAACAATGAAATTGTTGACACTTTAGCTAAATTAAGATTCGGTTAAAATTCATGCATGGAGTCAAATTCGCTAAAATGGCATGTACATGTAGTTATTTGTTTTCCAGTATATAAAAAAATATTCACTGTAAAAGTGTGTTGTAAGATATTAATAAAATATATGTCATGTAATTGGATAATTGGTTGCTTGGTTTCAACTATTTTAACATCAATATTATATTTTCAGTGACCTCACCCATTGACAAATGTTCGGTCAAAGGTCATATGCCACGCCCACTCCACCTACCCATTGGTGTACCCTGAAACACAATGCACTGCTTTTTTTTAAGAGCAGTGATTATTTGCTGCATCTTATTTCGCTGCGATGATATAAAGAGAATAATATAATAAATATGAAATACCTTTACACAAATCTTCTGCTCAGTGTAGAAACATCAATCTTCTTTTATACCCAATGGCTTCAAAAAACTCCAAAATACAGCACCGTTTACAAAAAGCTGCAGTCGCTACACGGATATGGCTAGTTAACTAAATGCTCGCAGTGCAATGGTCAAAACTGTGCTCACGCAAAATGCATACAAGATGCACACATGATACAAATCACTACCCAGACGCAATCAGCATCCACACAACATTAACTCAAAGCCACTTATATACTGTAAACATAGACACAACTATACTAATTTATAAACTATACCACACAACAATACATAAAACAAGTAATATAATCTCATTCGCAACCATACTCACAACAAGAGTTCAACAAATATAATACACTGGTGTTGTATACATACCTAGGATTTCCTCTCAAAGCAGCGTGATGAAGTGCGTTAAAACCGTTATTATTTGCTATACATATATCAGCATTCCTCTCTAGTAACAATGTCAGCATATCGTCTCGTTTCTTACTGATAGAATCATGCAAGGGTGTGTCTCCTTCGGTATCCTGTGATTAGACAAGACAACAAGAAAGAAAGAAAGGAATAAACTATCGGTATTGTGCCCTCTGTAGCTACCTTCAAAAACGCTGCCAAGGTATAAACCATTGTGCCCCCTGTTGCTACCTCCAAAAAACACTGCAAAGGTATAAACCATTGTGGCCTCTTGCTATGGCTACAAAAATGAATAAAATCCGAAAAAACAACATAAACATGTCGAAATTACTACAATGTAGCCAAGCATTCATTTAAACAAAATGGCCGCCAGTCATTTTGAATCCGATCTGAAAAATAAAATGACATGCATCAAGAACCATGTATATACCAAAATCCATCCATAAACGCCAAGATCCAGTTCTGGAATGCCAGAAATGCTTGATTTTGGACAATTTTTTAGCACAAAAATGGCTGCCATTTGGCCATTTTGAATCAGATAGTCAAACCAATATAACTATGTCATGATGTATAATGAATACCGGTATATAGAATTTGATCATACTCAGTCAAAGCATGGCAGAGATATGGCACTAGAACCGGATTCATTCATCTGAAAATTAAAATGATGTGCATCAAAGTCCCATAATGTCCAACGTATGTACCAAGTAACAAAATCCATTCATAAATGCTTGATTTTGATGATTTTTTAGCACAAAAATGGCCACCATTCAGCCATCTTGAATCAGATCAAGAAACAAATTGATGTGCATATGTATAATATTATGTATGATGTATGTGTGAAGTTTGATTGAGATTGGTCCAGGCATTTCTAAAATACATGTCCAGATGCATGCACGCATGTACACACAGACGCACAAAGGTCAAAACACAAAAAGAGGGATCCTGCCAAGTCACTAACACTGGTTTAGACAATAAATGACTTGGGATTTTCTCACTCCCCAGTTGCTCTACCGAGGCAAAACACAGAGATGTCATGCAACATATAATTTTCCCCGAGAACTGGGACATTCATCACACTTGTCTAATTCTGATTTGATGTTATGCTATGTTGAAGAAGTCATTGTCCCCTATGTGGACTCAGTGCTAAAACTTCCTTCAATGCAACAAGCTGTCACCATCTCTGATGTTTACAAAGCACATCGTTATAAGAGTGGTTATAAAAATTACATGAATTGAACATTTCTCCGATATTTCTTCCTGCCTTCAACCTTTCTGTCAACAATGTGTTGAAAGATTTGTTGAACAAGTGATCTGACGGTCGAAATAGCTCCGCTGTCTTCATTATCATGGAACAACAATCATTAAAGTGGCAATTTAAGGCACCTGATATAAGCAGAATAATCATCGCATTTGTCATATACTTTAAAGTTGTATTATGTTTTATATTTAGTTGAAAGGCCTCTGTAAATAGGGCTTACAGTTTTGAACTAGTTGTCAAAAATAACATTTTTTACCAAAAATGAGAAAAAAGTTCACTAAAAATCTAAATTTGCATATTTTGAAACCAATTTAACAAATCTGACAGAGGACTACCCCAAGTATCATTACTGATAATTTGAAAGCATTTGAACTTATGGTTTCAGAGTAGTTGTCGAAAATAAAAAATTTTACCAAAAATGACAAAAATATTCACTAAAAAAACAAATTTGCATATTTTGAGACGAATTGAACAAATCTGACAGAGGACCACCCGAGTACTTTTGGTACAAATATAATTGGCCAAGTACTTTTGAAGAAGAAGTCATTTAATGGAAAACTTCCCGCGGGACATGGGACGCGGGACAGACGACGCCGGAGAGACTTTCAATAGTTTTATGCTGATAAAGTTTGCAATGCAATTAACAATGGCAACAAAGACCAAAAGCTTGATGTCAGGCTTTCTGAACCCAAACTGGTATATGCCAAATGGTTGGTTACTGCCATTCAATAGGTGTTTTGTCATCGTAAACAGATAATATTGACGGAATCAAACAAGCAGAAATTTTGGACTGTTTTGAATGAGCTTTTTCATGAACTCTCACATTGGATATTTTTATAGCCCTACATCGTTTACGCTCTTGAAATGCAGCATTTGTAGCACTTACATATACAAATGTATATGTACTTTACATAGTAAATTTGTGGAATTACTGTTGCTGTTGTGAATTACATGTATGGTACGTATTAAGGGTGAATTACTTATTTGTATATAATGAAATAATCACAGTCATTGTATGAAACTAGTGTACATGTATATGTAATCAGAGGTACATTACTGGGGGTTTACAACTACAGTGACATGATACCAAGATCCCGTTTCAATCTCGCTCTCGCATAAGCGTTCCAACTCAGAAAAATGCGAATGCGCATGCCCGAGGTAACTAGGATACTGGGATGTCCAGGTGGACCAAAATAGCTGCTCACGATATGACGGATTACGATAACTTTATTTTCTGTACATTTTCGATGTATTAATTTGTTTCACTATGAATGTGGTAATACATGTTTTATTGATTATTCAAACTGCCTATTTCATGTTTGAAGGTCGTAGCATCAGTCCCGCTATCTACGAGATGAGACTTGAATGGGATCTTGACATGATGTCACCATACAGTACTATGCGCGTTGCAAACCCCAAGTAATGTACCTCTGATGTAATTTATTATTGATTGTATGAACATGAGTTATCAGTGAGTGTTATTTTGACTGGGGTATTGAGTTTTACATTCCAACGTAAAAAAGAACATTTACGCATAGTTTTAATTTTGCGTTTTGGGACTTACTAAAAAATTAAAACCATATGAATATTTTCTACTTCTACAGTAGTATATATTAAAAGCATGTATTTATTTATTCAGTGTTCTCATGCCAGGGTGAAAATAAAAATCAAGGTCCAAGTGGGAGCCTAGCACACTGTACATGCTCATACCCAGATTGGACACAGCCCCCAGTTGTAATGAATAAAAACTGCAATCATTCGTTCTGGTCATGGGGCTAGGAATCAACATTTTTCTTGGGTACCTTGTCTGGTCTACTATTCATAGTAGTGTCCATGAATTTGCTTATACAAACCAGTGAATACAAAAAACATTCATTGCTCATACATGTATATTTTTTTCAAGACACTGCCCTCTGTTGTTGGAAAAAGAAATGATACTAGTAAACAATGCCACCTGTGGCAGCTTTACCTGTAAACTTGGATGACAACCCAAATCCAACAAGGTTTTCACAACACCAATATGACCTTTATTGACCCCAATATGAAGCGCAGTTTGTCGTCTTTTATTTCTTGCATTAAGATCAGCACCTGCTCTATGTATTAACTCAATCACGCTTGCTTCATCACCAAATGCTGCATGATGAACAGCTCGATCTCCGTCTTTATCCTACGAAAAATAAAAAAAAAGTTTTGAAAGATGGAGCTTGTTTTTATACAAGTTACTAAACACTGCCTAATGAGATTAATTATTCATGAAGAAATTTGGTTCATAAAAAAAAATAATCAAAGAAAGCTTAGAAAGAACTCCCATGTGCTGAGAGTATTGGAGACACATTAAATATAATTCGAAATTACTTAGCTGAAAACTAATTATGCAAATCAGAAAATTAATATGAACAGATTTGAGTGTAAAACTAATGAGGTCTGCGCAATGTAACAGAAAATCTATGTTTCCAAGTTTAATTGAAACATGATTAGAACCAAAAAATTATGAATTATTATGCTTATTATGGAATTAATATGAACAGATTTTTACCCCAAACTAATTAGGTTTGTACATTGTCCTAGCGCATCTTTGTACTAAGTTTGATTGAAATGGAATAATTAGTAGTATAGA